CTGCAAGGTCGGGCAGCAAGAAGGGGAGTCGCGCGGCATCGACAAGTAGCTGAGGGGTACTTCACTCAGAAAAATCAGTGTGAACCGAGGGGTCTGGAACTGCCAAAAAAATAAAAAAATAAAGTGTACACACGTGATTGTGTCTAGACAATCATTGTTTCAGATTGTGTATGATTGTGTTGATGACAACCTCTGACAAGGTGGAAATCACTTGGGTACGTAACGTACGGGCTATTTCGTGGGTTACAAATACTGTAAAGACATATTTGAGATTTGAGAATTTCATGAGACTGTATTGATATTTAATAGTTTACTAGTAGGCTCCTTTTGGGGGCGGCTGAGCTTGCGGCACCCTGTGATGACAGTTTGCATTAACATGTGACAACTCCGTTTACTAACAAGAACATTTAATTTTAACATATTGTTTGAACTACGATTTTTGAACATCGAGTATTATTGTTTGTCATTACTTCATGCTTTGAATCTTCAATTTCAGTTAAAAGCCGGTTTCCTAGAGTTCGGTAGTTCTTAAACGTCTATCTATATTTAGTGAATGTTTGACTTTTCTTTAGCAACCCGTTAATGACACTAAATCTTCACAGCAAAATTACAATGTTCATTTCGAAGTATCAAAGAATGGTGACCAAAACGTCATATTGATGAAATGGATGGAAACGTCACCGAAAAGATGTCAATTTCCCCCAAAACTTTGTTAGTTTTACGTGAATTTTATGTCAAAAACTTTAATTTGTAAATGGGCTATTGTAATTCACAATGGACCTCAAATGCCCTGAGAAAATACTTGGACTATTAATATTGTTTATAGCGGTTTATAGAGTGGCACAAGGCGTGTGCACGTGCTCTGCCTATGGCTATGTCGCCAGCAGCTCTGCCCTCGGCTCTACCACTGGTTCAGCCCTTGGCTCTGCCCGCGGCTCTGCGCGCGGCTTTGCGGCCTGCCCGGCTCTGCCCGAGGGCCTTCACTGACAGTGTACACCACTCGCAGGAATCATTAAAAGAAATCTTAAAACAAAAAT